GGGAGGGGAAGGTTCTGGTGGCTATGAAGGTTATGAAGGTTCTGCAGCCGAGTACCTATACATGGCGGACAGAGCCTCACCTGCGATGAGTGAGACAGGCTCCGGAGACGACTGGGCCGAGGCAGAAGCTGAGCAATACAAAGGTATTTATAGGAGAAACGTTTTGCATGGATTTAACAGGTTTCTGCAGTCGTCCTCAAATGTATTCACACCCTTCCATTAAAGAAAAGGCAAAATTCAAAATAGTCACTCAAATAACTAGAAACTTAAAAAAGTAATAATAAATAAAAATTTGCTAAATTATAATTTAGTGAAATTAGACATTGATTTTGAATTGTGGTTGAAAAGAATAATTAAAAAAAAAAAAACTGTCCCAAACAAATTAGAGCACTTTGCTGATGAGCAGTGAAATCAAAACACCTGTCAACAGGTGCAGAAGATGATTGGCTCAAAGAGTTGTTCAACAAAATATTAGTTTACAAGTCCCATCATGCTTGTATGAAGAAATTTGAGGACGACTATATGCCATTTTTTATTTTTTTTGGTAAGTGCTTCATGTATTTTGACCTGTCTTCGTTCTCTCCTGTTTGCAGTTGGACGTGTGGATGGCATGAGGAGGTTGTTTCCCGGCATTTCTTTAGCTGATGAGGCAAAACCGGCAGAGCATGAGCTCAAAGAAGACGACCTCCTACAGCTGTAGACTCTACACCCTCTCCAACACACATAAACGACTGGCATCTATTTCCCATTAATTCCCTGTTTGCTCAGATAGTGAAACTAATTTTACATCACCACCTGCTGGAAAAACTCGGTCACCCAGACAGTGACAAAGGCCAAATATATATATTTTGTATTCTCTCTGCTATTGATGGAAATTATTTTCTTCAGGGGCAAAAATGTAAAAAAAATAAATAAATAGATGCCAGAATATAAGATTTGGTCTGCATCAATGACATGAACTGTCCCTGTATACACACTTTACTCTAGTCTAAGCTGGCATTGACTTGTATTTGTGCTTTCCTGTGAAATGAAAGGTTGTGATATGCTTTTTAATACAAATTAAAATATGCTTTTAAATCTTTGTAATACCGGTGCAATAAGATGACGCCTTTGTCCGAGCATTGCTCACTCTGTGCACTTCCAACCACGTTTTTTTTGGAGCTATAAGGGATGTGTTCCTTTACGAAACACAAAAACAAAGACTTTTATATTATTTGATCCCTTCGTCTCAAATGTTGTGGCACTTCACTCTTAGCCAGGAGGATAATGCAATGTATTCTGGACACAACGTTGAATCTTGTGGACCTGAACCCCCTGAGAAGTGGACTGGAACATGTTCAAAATATGTACTATGAACGTGCATTAATTCAACACACTCTGCGTTATCTAATTTGCATTTGAGATACTTCTATCAATAAAGGATTTCTAACAACAGTATTCAACAGTGTTTCTGGTGCATTTCATTGAACCTACCCTGTTCGTCATAGCTTGTCAGTCAGTTCACCATCAAGGTTTGATCGTCTGCTGTTCGGGGCTTCGGTTTCACACTTGTTCCTAACGTTAGAGATTCTCCTTTGGTGCCTGATTGATACATTTGCAGACTGATATTCTTGCCTTATACTGTATCAGCACATGTGTTGGTCGATGTGTAACAAGAAATTGCAGCAGAGTCATTCCGTCTCAAATCATCAACTTTTTACAACAATTTCCGTGCGACCTTTTCGGATTCACCATAAACTTTTATAGCCATAAATATGGATGTTTACAAAGATATCTGTGAAAATGTATCTTGAGATATTAAATGCTTTTTGAGACAGTTTTTTTTTTTTAAATGCCCATCAACAACTTGCTATCCTGCTCAATCATTTATGGAAGGTCAATGAAAATATATCAAATGTTTTATTTTTGAGACCAAGTATTTCATATTTGAAAAGCATCCTATATATTTTGTTTTTTATTATTTTGAAATGCCACCACACATGGTCCAAT